CCAGCTGGTTCCATTCTGCGTGCTACTTGCAGTCTGCACTGCATTTAACCGAGGAATTGTTCTTTGTGATGTTGTGTTTTCATTCCTTTCGTTCCCCTCTTTTCCTCCCTCCTTTCCACATACGTCTCCCGCAAGGTGAGGTGCATTAAGCATGGTTTTTATAAAAAAATTCATTTTGAAAAAATTTCATCCAAAATGCCCCCCTCTCTTTCCAGCTTATCCGCGCTTCCCAGTGTTTGCCCGCTGAAACCTTGAGCCTCCAATTGCACATACTGCTTTAATTGCGCAAGGGACATTCCTTCAGGGTGAACTGTAGGAAAAAAAAGCGCTTTTTGGTAACTGATAATTCAGCGTCTACCACTGATCTCCAACTAGTGTTTCATACTAAACTTGAATTTGCTCAGAAACGGCTGTTCAAAAATATTCTGTGTCAGTCCGCACTTATCGCGCCTCATTCCCACCACCCTCACAACAAACAGTCTGCTAATGTTGGCTTCCCCACTTTATTCAAAAAAAACATCCCCTCAAAATTCAGGTTTCTACCTTCTCAGGTTCCCCAGTTAGCAGTTCATCCAAAAAAAATTTATGGCTTCAAAATATTCAAAGAAAGTCTTCAAAACAGAAAATCACTTCTGTCCGCTCAAACCTTGAGTCTCTAATTGCTTATAGTGTTTTTAATCGCGCAAGGGACATCCTTCAGGAAACTGTAGGAGAAAACGCGCTTTTTGGTAAATGACTATTCAGTGTCTACCACTGATCTCTAACCAGTGTTTTATACTAGATTTCAATTTGCTCAGAAACGGCTGTTCAAAAATATTTTGTGTCAATCCGCACTTATCGCGCCTCATTCCGACTACTCTCACAACAAACAGTCTGCTAATGTTGGCTTTCCCGCTTTATTCAAAAAAAAACATCCCCTCAAAATTCAGGTTTCTACCTTCTCAGGTTCCCCAGTTAGCAATTTGTCCAAAATAAACTTTCATGGGTTTCAAAGTTTTCAGACGATTCAAGTTTTAAAACAAAAATGTTCAAAACAAAAAAATCGCTTCAAAATTTTCAATACCAGTTCTTCATGCTCATTCTCCGTTTTGCCTGCTCGCTGCTCCTCGCTTTGCTGAGTGACATGCGCTGCTGAAAACAGAACTGTATAGTAAACTTTTGTGAATACTACAACTACTATCATTTTGTGACTGCTTGTGACTACTGTAAGTTATTTTTTATTGGCAGTTGTGGCTCAAGTTTACCAGAACTGTCGGCCGTAACTGATCGAGCGAACGCAGCGTCCTTCGTCGACAGCTCCGTGCGAACACCAATCGGAATTCCGAAGCCGGCGTTGATGTAATCTGGAAAAAAAAAATGTTATTCAATGCCGCGACGTAAATCAAGAATTTCGGTAGCAAGAACTCTGAAAAAC